GGTTTTCAGAATATAATGCAATATCCTGTATTTAGAGTAGGGAAAACTTAAGAATACGGTAATGAGTTTCTCACCATCCGAGTTCAACAAATAAATAAATGGATACTGAGTTGCAGGGAGAGAGTTCTTGAGGCGCCTGGTCTTCGTGGTTTGTTTGTTTGTTTGTTTTTTAACTTTATTGCCCTCTAGTTTCCGAGCTTAGCCTTCTATTGTGAAAATGTTATTTGGGGAGAAAGAATAATTAATGCTTCAAGTCTAAATCGTGGGCCGTTATGGATAAAATCCTGACTTCTTAGAAGGGCTGCCCTACAAAATGCTGAGTGGGACGCTTCCCTTACCAGTTTTATTTGCCATGTTCTCTTACATACATTAGCAACTGAAAAAATCTTTTCAGTCTTCTCTGAGAGACCAAAGCAAGGCTGTTAGGTGCAGTTGCATCTCCTCCCTTTTGCACTGTTCTCTAGGGTCACTTAATCTTTGAACATTCAGTGCAGTAAAGGGAAGGTGACATTTTATTTTGAATATAACGAATAAATGAGAAAACAAAACAGCACGCACTGGCAAGTGCTACAGGGTTATCAGCTGAGCAGTTGGCCGCAGATGCGTTCACATTTAGTAGGTTGCTATGAATATTTATTCCAAACCATAAGTCTTACTTTCGTTTTCCCATGAGATGTCATCGCCAAAGAAGGGAAGATGTGCCCCCAGAGGCAAAAATCGGATGTTCTGAGCATAGGACACTGTCCATTTTTCTAAGAAAGAATTTGAGTATGTTGACGGTTGCGTGGCAATTTTATGCCCCAACTAAGACTCCATTGATAATGGTACTAAGTGCAAAAATGAAGTGTATGAGTAGTTAATGATCAGCTTTTGGTATTTATAATGATGTGTTTTTTAGTGCCTTGACTTTTTTATGCATATATGCATATATCTGTATGCACACACACACAAAAGAATTTGCCTATTCATGTTTCTCTCACTGCCCTCTGTCTAGAGGGATTAAACTGTTTTCTAGTCACACCTGAATATCTGTACCATGTACAAATGAAAGCAGTCATTTTAAATATATTTTCTTGAAAAGGTTGCCTGAATGCTTTTTATTTTCTCTCATTATACAGCTCTTTCAACAAGACAAAATAAACATATATATTAAATATACTGTCGTGAAATAATGTTACTTTCTTCAATCTCTTTTCTCAGCTGTAAAGAAGTACTTGAAAGGTGTTTATTGTTTTGAGCTAGTAGATAATGAAGTACCTGCATACTTTAAACTTGCAATTAAGTGATAAATCATGGATTTGAACAGAAAACCTTTGCTTTCAATGAAGGAGCTGATCTTTGAATATTTGATGATTCATATCATCTTTTTCTTGGCTTTCTTAAAATGAGTGGAGGGGGAGAGTTTGTTAAAAGTAGCCGCGACTGCTTCTGGTTGGAGGATGATGCATTGTCCTTCACCAAGATAGGAAGTGGGCAGTAAGCATTCCTACAGCTCAATAGCACAGTTAAGATCTTGCAGTGTTAAATGATTTGAAGCACTGAATCTTTTGAGAGTGGAAGATGGGCCTGATGTTTGTGGTTAGGTGCCTGCTGTTCTCCATCTGTGACAACATTGACGTCACTAGAATTTCAATGGGAGGTCAAGTCAGAGGAGCAGCACGGGTGGAGAGGACTCGCCTGAAACAAGCCTGGGGAACAGCATAAAAATGTAAATACACTTGTCTGTGTAATGGCCTGAGAGTAGGTAGCAAGGATGCACGCTTTCTGGGGCTTGCCTTAACTTTGTAATTCTTGATGCTGTCTAGAGTTTGCCGTAAGCGTTGCCTGTATGCCAATGTCATACAGTAACAGCAAATGTATTTTATTATGATGAGTGTTTTGAGAGGTATTTTAATAAAAAGATATTACTGTTTCATGTGTTTTTTGTTCTCATGATTTTCTCAGGGCAAATGTTACCAGGAAACACAGTTATAAAAGTTACTAATTTAAACAGCTGGAATAATACAGAGAATTAACTCTTCAACACTGTTCTTCCAAAACTAAAACTGTAGTTTCCTTTTAAGCTTTTTCTTTGTATAAATTAATAAAATAGAATCTTCTCAATAGCCAAAATGTACTTTCTGACAGAAAAGTAATTGTTTTGTGAATGGTTGTGTACTTTGTCCTATTCTGTTTTGCATAAAAGATACTGCAAATTTATTTTTGGGCTTTCCTTTAACTCTAAAGCTAAAGCATCAGTAAAGCATCAGCTACGTATGTTTAGGAATATTTCAGAACGTGTTTCAAGTCTTTTCTGTGTTAACTTTGATCTTGCCTTTTCTCTGCCTTTGGTCCTTCTACAAACCCCATAGTAGGTCTTCTGTGATCTCAAAACGCATTTCCTGTACATTCCATAAGGAGTCTTGAACCCCTACAGGCATCCAACCACAGGCTCAGTTTGGTATCAGGCAGCTCTTTTGGTTGTCTTTTCTCTTGCTGCAGGGTACATGTGATGTATAAGTGATACTTTTTTTTTTTCTGAAGACATTAACTAAGATATTTCTTCTAGGTGTTCTGTTGTATTCTGGAACAGTACATCCCATGTAGACACCCCTCCCTTCAAGGGTTTTGAGTGAGCATTTTTCACTTTGAACAGAATGCCCTTCTTTCAAGTTCTGCCACAGCTTTTCTTCACCTTTAAAGGAACGGGTGTTTCATTGCAGTATTTCACGTTCAGCTTTCAGTTCAAGTATGTGGTTAGTCAAGTAAGATTGATGGTTTCTGTGCTAACATGAGCGTACTTGCTTTGGCCTTTGGTGATGTAAAGGAACTGATTGCTGGAAGATGCTTCTGGTTTCCACTGTATGCACAGCTCTTTTAACTGTATAAGCAAAAAGGACTTCACAGTGCTTCACTGCCATGGAGTCCATCATGGAAGCAGCAGATCTGATCACACAGACCAAATGCCAGTGAGATACTGAACTTGCTCTGCCTATTAATTTGCTAATATTTGGCATTTTTAATTGTTCAAAGGAGCAATTTTTTCTAACAATGGACAAACTTAGAACCCGAGATACTAAAATGGCTTCTGAGGCACTATTTTAGACAGTCAGCCATAAAATGTAGTCATTATCTTTAATAAAAAGGCAAACTCAGCATCTCTTGAGAAAATGGCAGGGAATTACTAATTTACACAGCTGTTTTTTCCCACGTATTTTCTAACAAAAAGGCTTCTCAAAATTCTAGTATTCTCCTTAGCACATTTAGGAGAGTCACAGCAGAGAGCTTGCCACTTTGCTTGCCATCTTTTCTCGACTTTGCCCTTAAAACAGTAAGAATTAAATAAACATAGGGTGTGTAGGGTAAGAATGTTCCCTCAAGTAAGCTTCAGACCACAGTGAGTTTTGTGAAGTCAGAAGTCATCCAAATGTGTTTCACACAGCAGTAAACTGTTATACTAAGCTCTGCACACAATCACTCATTTGTCTTTATCCAAAAATGGGAGAAGATTCATACTGTGCTCGTTAGCTGATGAGCCCATTGTGTGTGAACTTGTGTTGGCAGCAGCCTTGATAATGCTCATTCTTCAGAGCTGAGAGCCTCTGGCGACCTCACTTCAAGTGGAGATCCTTACAGGCAATCATCTCAAATTACTACGGATGTTTCTGAAGTAACCTTCCTCTCTTCTTTTGCCAGAAGTAATACAGCCTTTGTGCAGCGAAAAACCCCAAGACATTAGCTGTGATGTTAAGTTAAATACACCAGCAAGTACTTGCTGTTAAACTGTTTCTTCTGGAAGGGAGGAGGTAAGTTGGAAGTCGCATGGTTATGTAATACGCTGTGGAGACAATATCTCTGTGCTCCAACACTAATCGGAGTGTTTACAACCCTCCCCTTTGTATTTCCTACTGAATAGCACAAATTCCTGTGGGGGACCTCTTACATTACCACAGAAGGTTGCACAAAGAGCCCATTTGACAGGGACTAAGAAGCATTGAATCTCAAGTGAATAAATGAAGCAGGTGGCACGCTGCCACTGTATTAATGTGTCCAAAAGCTCAGGGATTATGTCCGAGGCTGTGGGAATGAATCGGGCTGCTTCTGACTGAAACAAATTCCCCTGTTGGTTAGGAATCCTGAAAAGGATTCAAGATACGCAGGTGCTTCACGTAACAGAAAAGACGAGGGATACAGAATTCTTTTGAATATCTCTGTAAACAGGATGCATGTGGAGATGGAGATGTGTTTCTTGGCACAGGTCTCCTCACGCCGCATCCAGCGTTTCTCCATTTTCTCACCCTCCACAGAGCAGCAAAGAGGAGCCGCAGACAATTCAAGTTCAAAGCGGTTACACGAGGATGACGGCTGCTCGCTTCCAGGCTATCAGTGTAAAACTCAGCAGCAAGGCTATCGAGGCGGGCTGGGTGTAAACATCCATGGAGCTGTGCCAGCTGCTGTATTCACATGCCGTGTATCTCGCCGGTTGTGTCACAAATTCTAAGGACTGTGGCTTACTGAGGCTTCAGTCAGACATCGCTAATGCTTACGTTTCCTTGTAAACCTGCTCAAATGGGGTTGTCTGCCCCGAGGGTTTCTGTGAACTTGACCCAGCTTTGTGAGTTTATCTCGGCCAGGAGGCCGCTGGAACTGGAATAGCAAGGGCACGCTGCTTCTCACAGTATCAGCTGCCGCCCCCAGCACGGCCGCTGTGGGGCGTTAGAAACGAGACGAGGCGAACGGACTAAAGCGCCACGGCTCCACCCAGAGCCGCCGCCTGCTGCACTGTCGCTCTTCTCTCCCCTCTTCCCGTCGCCGGGAGTTGTAGTCCGGCTGGCGGGAAGCCGCCCCACTCCGCTTTCGGTAGGCGTCCCCGAGAGAACTACAATGCCCACAGTGCTCTGCGCGCGGGAGTCTCCTTCCCCTTCCCGCTTCTCTCTCGCGTCACCGCGCGCGCGCAGAGCCCCTCCCTCCCTCACCCCGCCTCTCGCCCCCGGGCGCCCTGCGCATGCGCGGCGGCAGGAGCCGCTGCCCCGAGCGGCGGTGCGAGCGAGGGCGGCGGCGCCTGCGCGGTGTGGAGTTCGCGCCTCTCCTCAGCCGTCCTTGCGGGCCGGGCGGCGGAGGCGGCGGGATGGAGCGCGAGGCGGAGCCGCGTGCGTGAGGCCGAGGCGGAGCCGCTGCGGCAGCGAGCGGGACCCCGACGGTTAGTGCGGACGCCTCCTGTCTCGGACCCTTCGCCTCTCTGTGAAGGGCGAGGGAGCCGCTTCCGGGGCTGGCACGGGGGAGGGGGGCAGGGATAAGGGGCGGGGGAGGGGCTGACCCGGGGCCTAACCCCTCACTCAGCCCGGCGGCCGGCTGCCCGCCTCAGGCCCCTCCCGCTCACCTGGCCCGTTGGCTGCCGCCGGGCTGAGGGCGGCGTGTGGGGGCTGGGGACAGCCGTCCGCCCGTTCGCCTTCACCTGGAGGTCCCGTCCGAGCTGCCCTTACCGCTATCGGCGTTTTTCCGCGTGTTGGACAAGTTGTCTGCGTTGAGTTTGTTGTGCGTTTGTCGAGTGCTCGGCACGCTGTCGGCTACTTCGTGGTGTTATTTTGAAAACGTGTCTCTGCAGGCGGAGAATATCAGCGTGAGGTGCGTGAGTAATAGAGCAGATCTGACTGCGTGTGTTAGGGCACGAGCACACCGATCAAATGAAAGCATCCCTTCAGGAGAACGCCGTGCTCATCCCCCACCCTCAGTTCATGCAGTATCTTGGCCATCCTTAATGAGAAGATAATAAAAAATAGAGAGGTAGGACCATTTTGCTGGCTGCATAAAGCAGATTTGTGTAAATGTTTTGGTTCTAGTGCTTCAAGACAGCAGCAATTGAATTCTTATTCCCACTTCTCATCTGGAAGGCAGGGTTGAAATTGCATAAGCATTAAGGACCCATTTAGACCCAAACTGCTCTGTGATGATGTGAGCTGTGAACCTCAGCTATAATGCACCCATTTGAGCATAACAGTGAGGCTCTGTTGGATACGACCCAGGATTGTAATGGATGTGAGTTTATTAGCAAGCTTAAACAACAACAACAAAAATACGAAGGAGTCCCGTTTATTTTGTTTTTGATGCCATTTGAAATGTCATGGACAGGTTCTTATGAAGCATGGTGTGCTGTTTCTTCAGTTCATAGTCCTGTACAGTCAGTGTGAAACGTGCTCTGTAGGGGCATTTTTCTACGGAGAAGGAAAATAAGAAAGAATAGGCTGCTTATAAAGGATAAGAAGGGAACTTTGGGTTATCTGTTCTAGGGCTCTTATTTCTAACTTTGAGAAAATCAGTTGTTTTTTACTCTTCTCATGCATGTGATAAATGGTAGAAAGAGCTGCCTCTAAGTTAGAATGCAGTGCAATTCTGGCATTGTTCTCTCTTAGCAAAGGTACAACTGGGGGAGTGGAGGTGTTGTTATCTTCCTTGGAAAGTAATGATTTCGTTGTAGAGCTTCATGTGTTACTGTAGCTATACAGGTACTTCTTCTGTATGGTGGCTTGTTTCCATTTTTTCTGTGTCTGTATTGTGATGTGTTGCATTGATATTGCAGTGGCTGCTTTCTTGCTTCCAAGCTGTAGGTGTAGTTGAAGCTGATGTGCATATGTACTCTTTAGAGTTCTGATCTCACTTGTACCTTTTAGACACTTCCCTAATATGTTCCGGCTGTGTTTTCTAACAGCAAGGTTTTGAATGCTTGTGGAGCACATGCTGCTATTTCTGATGAAACTATGTCAGAGTTATATGAAGAAATGCTGTTGTTTAGTAATAAATACCCACAAATGCAAATGTTGTTTCCTTCTACAAAGCTTGGTGTCAGGTGGCTGGCCTCAAAATGTCAAAATAAAGTATAGTATGACACTTATCTTCATTAATTGTATGCCTGGTGTAACATACTAAGCCTTTCTCTGAACTAACACGTCTGATTATCTTAAATCAGTGAATGACTCACCACCCTTAAAAATAGTCAGTTTGCCATATGCTGGCTTCAGATTTTCACCTAAAGAATCTATCGGCTTGCTCTTCTGTTCACCAGTGCCTTGTGGACCTCACCTCACAAACTGCTGGCTTAAAAAAAACACACCAGTAACAGGAAACCAGAACAACAGAGTGAGCACACGGTCTGGCTGACAGGAGCCTGCAAGCAGCCAGTGCTCAGACAGGATCACAGACATGGTGATGCTGAGAGGTGACTGTTGTCCAAGTAGCCATTGTGTCTTCTGCCTGCTGTGGCAGAGACGACAAAGGTGAGGATGCAGGTTGATTTGTAGCAAAAGGAAGGCTGTTTGCCCATTCCAACAACCTATCAGAGTCATTAGGACTGGAGAAGACCTCTGAGATCATCTAGATCTGAGATCAACCACCGACCCATCCCCACTATGCCCAGTAACCACGTCCCTCAGTGCCACATCCACGCGATTCTTGAACACCTCCAGGGATGGTGACTCCACCACCTCCCTGGGCAGCCTGTGCCATTGCCCAAGGTTTTTATAGGGCTTGAAAATCCTGCCAAGCCCACCGCAAGTGCTCACAGGTAGAGATGCCAACAGGACCTGTCCCTCACCTTTTGGTCTTGACATGAGCAAATATAAAGTTGGGTGAAGCTGTGAGGGTGCTGTGCAGCAAAAGAACCTCTGATATTGGCAGCAGCAAGGAGTCTCACTTGTGAGGCTGAGTACCATCAGGGATCTTGTGCTCCCCCCCTTCTTCAGACTGTGTTGTAAGGGGGATGGCTGCTTGTGGGGGCTGGAAAGGAGGGTATCACCTTAGTAAGGGTGGTGACCCAATGATTCCATTCTTCCAGAACAGATTAAAAAAAAAAATTAGGGCTTGTTCCGTGTTATGTTAAAGTAGCATATCAGGAACAGTCATGTATTGTTTGACCAAACTGGGGGATGTGATTGGGGTTCTTAGTGTAGCTTATTACTTGTAAATTAAAATTAAAAAAAAAAAAGTTGCTTGTTTTTCCTTATCTAATCTATGAATTCCAAGCATGTATGAGAGACTGAGATCTGCCAATTCAAAAACATGAGATCACAATGTTCAGTGAATAGCTGAGCAGCCAAACACTGCCTGCCAGTAGTATTTCCTGTGATAAGTAAATAAATGTATTTAAGCAGAGAATACAGTTAGATATCTCTTTCCTTGTGTAGTTCCCATGACACAAAGCAAACAAAAATGCAGATCACAGACGTCTGCCCTGCTGAAGACCTTGCCTGAGTGCATAGAGATGCACTGATTTAGCTTCTGGGGGAAAGGGTTCATTTTTGTGCTCTATAGTCTGAAAATTCCGTGCTTCTGTCTGTATGATCTGGTGCAAGTCAGAAACTTAGTTCCTGTTCTGTTGCTCCGATAGCATGCCTGGGCTTTTGTATGTGGTATCACTGAGCTTCTTGCTGGAGAAAAGACATCTGGCAGGAAGGAGGAGCTTCTGGGTCTGAGCGTGGATCAGTGGAGCAGCCAGGGCTTGAATGGGATGAATGGGTTTAAAGGCACCGGAGCTGATGACAGCGCTGTCAGTGTGACACCTATAAGAAAGGAAATATTAGAGACAAAAACTGCAGTGTGCTTTCTTCACAAAAACTTCAGCAAGGATTTTGAAGTACTTCACTTCTCTTTAAAACCACACCTACCTTTTTAAAACAGGAGTTACATCTGAGAGTTAGAAACTGTAATTTTACAATATAATTTCTGTAATATCTTTTAGTGAAATGTAACATTTAGCTCACCCTGATAACTAGGCTTTCCAGCCTGTCCACGTGTGTTTTAAATATGAATTTATATCGCTGTTCTGAGTGCAGCATTTTCTTGAATATTGCAGTGAAAATACGTTGTCTCAGATATTTATGAACATGAAGTATGCTGAATGCAAAATATAAATTCTGAAGTTAAATGTACCAGCACTGAAACTCTCATTTCTTGTATTAGTAGTGTTCTTCTGCCCTATCTTGCTATCTGTGGAAATCTAATTATTGGTTGTTTTTCCCTCTAACAGAGTTAATTAATAACAATTATGTTAAAAAAATGTTAATAGCTTGAAATTAATAGCTTAATTAATACTGAGGGTAAATGTAATATTGCCTGATGTAACATTGTAAATTGGGAGATATTGAAACTACAGAAATCAGAAAATATTGTGAACCAACTGTTACATAAAAGCGTAACACCAGTCTTTATAAAGCCTGATGTATTTTTCAATGGAATGTTGAAAACATGGTTTTCTGTCACCTTGCTCTTTTAGTTCTCGCTTATGGTTACTTCAGAAGTGACGCTGTTCTTCTAAAACAATCTAGAGCACTTTTCATATTCAGTGGAGGGTTGTTTTTTTTCTTTTCATTGATTGAATGGACTGAAAGTGGGGGACTCTGGGGAGCAAACAACTGATGAGTAGATTTCCCCATAAGCTTCCTGGATTATTTCAGCCTAGTGGTTTTACCTTTTCTTATTCTTCACGCGTTTTAATCTTTCCAAATTCTGTAAGTGCTCTGTGTGCTAGGGACTTGTAAGCTAACCTTAAATGATCTTTCTCAGGTTGTGCTTCGGAATTAGGATTGCAGTTCTCCAGAATCTACATAGCTCGTAGATCAAGTGATTATTATCTATCTTATTTTGGAAATGGTTTTAAAAGCTCTTGGAGAAAATGAAATGCAGCTTTCCAGGTGAAACAGGAGCTGAGGCAGTTCTTACTTTGCCTGGATGGTTCACCAAATTACCGTGGCTGCTATACCTACATGCAGATTGAAATCCTAATTCTCCAACATCTAGAGCGTGCAGCCATATGTCAGTGCAGTCCATGATTGGTGTGTATCATTAAAGCAGTCAGTTACACAGACATTTGTAGCAGGTACTTTACACGAGGCAGTTATTAGCACTTAATAGCAAGGATTTCACCACTCTTAAAAATGCTTTATGTTAACTGAGTCTCAGTACTTTGGTTTTGACATGGGGGAGTATGATGACATTATTCTGGCCTGGTGTATATCAGGCTTCCATTAAATTACATGCACTGATTTATTTTGAAGTAGCATGACTCTTCTTGTGCAGACAACAGTTGGGAATGGCAGCCAGAGCTTGTGTGGTCCTGTGCTGTGTGCTAATCAACTTTTTTTAGTTAGAGATGGAGACTCAGTAGATGTGAGCCTGGGGCAGCATCATGGCTGGGACGTGTCCAATAGC